AGGCTGACCTTTGGTCCTTTAAAGAGGACTGTTACTGGCCACATCTAGATTTAATTGCTTTTATAAAAGCCTAGGGAACGTGGTATTTCCAATATTTGGCATGAAACTGACCTCTAGGTGACTTTGCCCCAAATCTGCAAACAGCGGAAATGAAATTTGCAACAGGGCCCTAACTGACCAAAGTGCATGTGGGTGAAACTGATGAAAAAAAAGAGGGCACAAAGCCTTTTTGTCCATTTTCCAGAGAATGACCACTGCTGACTACTGAGCAACCTTCAACTCAAATCAGCTACGACTTTGCCCCAAATCTGCAAACAGCAGAAATGAAATTTGCAAGAGGGCCCTCACTGACCAAAATGCATGAAGGTGAAACTAATGAAAAAAGAGGGCACAAAGCCCTTTTGTCCATTGATGACCACTGCCGACTACTGAGTGACCTTCAACTCAAATCAGCTACAACCTTTAGAGGGCTCCAGACAAGGAAGTATTCAACTACATATGGCTACAACCAGCTGAGCAATGCCGCAAAAGAAGTTGCTAATCGATTTTTTTTTTAAATGGCCACAGTGCCCACTAGGTGACCTCCAGCAAAAGGCTTTGTCTGGAGATTAGACTGACCGAGTTTGGCCCTTATCTGATGAAGACTGTGGGAGAAGCATTTTTTCATAATTTTCCATCAAAGAACCCCTAGACCGTTAAGTAACCATCTGACCACATCCCACATGAAAACTTGGGCCATTTGACAATATAGCCAAGTTTGGTAGAAATTAGTCAAAGCGTTCGGTAGTTACAACACTATAAAGCTTTATCTTAAGAGAGAAAAAACGTTACAAAAGGACCGCAATATATCAGCCGATGCTGCACACCAACTGACACAAAGAAGAGTCCTCTTCAGCTTTAAATCAAAGGCTTTAATGAATCTGTGACAAAACTCAGTTTGACTAGCACTCTCTGTAGTCAAAGACCTAAATATCTGGCAAAGCCAAAGATGGCTGCGATTCCCAGCATAACTTTATTTTTGCAAAATAAAACTCAGAGGTCCCACAACAGAGCAGTATTTGCTTCCATACACTTGGTGTACAGATTCCAAAATTCACATTCAACAATCCATTACCTCCAAGGACCTGTGTGTACAAAATAACAGGGAAACTGGCATTTAATTACTGCTGTTAATATTCCCTACCAGGGTACGCTATAACACTCTCGATGCTACTGTCACTGCAAATGACTACTGGATACACATCCTTTGGTGTGAGCTGGTTAAAGATCCTGCAAAGTTACTTGCTGGGACACAGTCACAGTTTTAGCCAACTTGTGGATGACAAACTAGAACTGGCCACCAATACAAAAAACAACAGAGTAATATGCCTTTTGTGAGTGAAATTTGAAGAAAAACTGGTACACTGAGTTCTTCAATTCACGTGAACATAGCAATTTCAATTCTCCATCCTAAAGAGACTGTTGCGATACCTAGAGAGTCGGGGCAAGCTTTTGCTTAGTTACATAAGAAAGGACTTGCACCGATACACTGTTTTCAATCAATAAGATGGACACAAAGGAACCAGTCCATTCCAGAGATGGTGGTCACTATGTACATGTAAAAGCTTGCCCCAAATCACGGGGTACAGCAACAGTGTCTGTAGTCTGGGGAATTCCGATTGTTACATTTACATGTAGGTGCAATCAGATTACGCAGTGTATCAGAGTTTCTGCAAATTTAACTTGCAAAAGGCTTATTGACACAATGCAAACAATCAAAGCAGCTGTCAATGCACTAAACACTAAATCAGAATATATCCACCTTCAACGCCAATGCAGTCAATGAGGACAAAAGTTGTTGCCAACCAAGAACTGAAGCTTCTGAACCCCCCACCCCATATAAAATGATAGGCAAGGTTTCTATTTTTAGAAAGTCTATATTTACATGTACATGTACACAAACATAACCTGTTAAGTCTTTTGATGTCTGTACATTTTGCTGTCAAGCACTGACTTATCATGCACTTGACATTACCCACCGAAAAACACTGTTTCTATAGTAACACTACTTCTGGCAGACATCACGGCACTGAGGCCCTTAATGGCACAACTGTCATTAGCAAAACACTGAGAAAGCAGGGGCCAATTTCATAGAGCTGCTTTTAAGCAAAAAATTGCTTAAGCGCCAAAAAACCTTGCTAAATAAATCAGGTAACCAGTCAAAACTCCATGTGATGTATATTGTTCTGGGACTGTATTTAGCTGTCTTTTGGTTAGCATGACAATCAGATAAAGTTTGAGCTGGTAACCTTTGCTTTTTTAAGTAAGGTCTTTCACGCTTACGCAAATTTTGTGCTCAAGCAGTTCTATGAAATTGGCCCCAGTTGAGTGATAGTCAGTTACAGTGCTTAATGACCGACCACAAACACGGACCGCTACTTTTCATCCTAGATAATAAAGGTATAATTTTGGAGTGCACAATGCTCACGGTAATATTACTGAAGAAAGCATGATGCATCTGAATTGAGTCAGGCTTTAATACTTTTGGTCTTTCCCAAAGTGCAGACTACTTCCACAGTGTATAGTCTTTATACATTCGAATTGAAATCCCTGTCATCATATGACATGAATTAATGCTTCCAATACAGAGTGCAACAGCCGCAATGAACTGGATCTCAGACATCTGCAGGAGGCGTAGTGGCCACAAAAACAGTTAAAAGAACCTTTCATTTAAAAAAAATCCCCCAGTCATGGACATAGTATTGATGGCGCCGTACCATCATGTTTTGCACAATATGGGCAGACCATTACGATTGACATAAAGCGCCTTTCCTTCTTCTGGCAGCTTAAGAAATTTCTGAACTTACATGTTATGGTACAACATGCATACAAAGAAATGTGGGGATCCTCTTTTCTGCATTAATTATTTTCCAATGTTGAGCCCTAGGGGGCGCCCTACTCAAACGGTCTCTTTTCATTACAACTGAGAGCAAGCGCACCTTGGCCGAAACCTGGTAATTAGCTCTTTTTGTCTTACATGTATTTCCAAACTGTAATTTGTAGTTGTTGACTGAGATCTTGAACGATCAGAGGACCAGACTGACTGTATGTAATTAATGTCAATGGAATGGATCGTGAGGGATTTTTGGATTGTATTTTACCATTTGGCCGGGCTCCTCTCGATTCACGTGCGGCAGATTTGTACACAACTTATACTGAGTGCATAAACCTTTTCATCTATCACGCACGTACGGCGTGCATGGGTGAGCGTGTGGAAACTTAAGTGACCCTTGGGTTGTATCCATGACAACAACTATGTAGGCTCTGTGGGCGTGTGTGATGCAATGCAATTTTGTTTGCAATTATTTTACAAGCATTTGATTGCATATAGAATTTGTTATTTTGTGTGGCCTAATTAAAGAAAACCAGAAAAGCCAGACACTGTCAGAGTCTCATTCTTCTGGATCTCCTTACTGGAGGACAAACATCCTCCACCCTAAAAGAACAACACCGTTTCTTCCCCCGAGGGACCCTGCCACCGAGCGTCGCCAGCGATCTTACAGACACAAAACAAAATATTTGGTCAAATGATCACTGGTACATCAATCTTTGAGGAATTTGCAGGACAAACAGGAACATTCGTTGAAGGACAAACTATTTTGGAACTGGACAACTCCTAGCTGAGAGAATTTCACACTGCACTGAGAAGTGAAATATGGAGTTTGACCAATAACGAGAATCCAGTCAGCCACTTTAAAAAACCAATGTTTGAATGTTTATGCAATGGAAAGAATCATTTCTTTCCATTCCTGGCATTTCATCATGGTATTCTTCTTACCACTGCATTCATGAATGCTTGATTATTTGCATACATTACTTGCGGCAACCGATGTGTTCAATTTCGGAATTACTTGTTCAGCACTAAGATCAGTTTGTGGATGCCACAATATGTCGTTAGATTATTGACACAATGAGGACAGTGGACTGAATCAATCCACTGGTCATTTCTCCAGGAGGTGATGACACAGATTATTACAGGTACAGTCCATCATTTACAGTTATCCAAAAACTAAGGGACCACAAATCGTATTGAAAATTCGGGAGCCAAGGTGAATGTTTGGTATTCTCCGAATGTTCGGTATAGCGTTGTTCATTGCAGCGGCATTCCACCTTACTTGGTTTAAAGATTGTTACGGGACTAAACTCCCTATGAAATTATCCTTTTTGGCCAGCTGTCATATTGAGAAAAACAATGAAGCATTAGCTGCATCCAACTGCATATGAGAGCGTGTCCCAGACACTGAATTTAGGCCCAAATCAAAACATGACTCAGCACGGTTTTGATCGCAAATTGAAATCGTAGAACAAAGTTTACCCTGAGACTATACCATACTCGTCACTATATCACTCATCACTAACTCATCACTAAGCTGAAATTCAGTCAGGTGTGTTCTTAGGCGCCCTTCTTTAGATTTTTGGAGTGACTGTTTTGCTTCTAAAGAACATAATGCACAAATGACAAATGATGGATCAGCACCCAATTAGCTGCTCAGCAACCAATGGGTAACATAAATACAAGTGTACCAAACATTAACAGTGAATGGCCACCTGCTTATGGAAGATACATGTACCCTGGCTTTTTGTACAAAGAACTGCAATTTCCAAGTAAATTAGTCTCCACTACATAGGTAATTCCAGAAATTAGGGGGCCAAAAAGTGTGACATTTTTGTGTCCCTGTTACATCTGACCTTTGTTATTTGACATGGAACTTTCACCAAAAATTGATTTTAACTATTACTATTTGTTTGGCAGGTAATTTGCATTGATTCATCACTCTTGGAAATTAGATTTGTTCTGAACATACACAATCATATGTCAGATGTGACAGGGACACCAAAAAAATGGACCCCTAATTTCTGGAATTACCCACATACATGCTGCCAATATGAAATTATGATGGGCAGATATAAATATGACTATAACTATAAAGAAAAGGACTGATAAAACCCAATTTACATACCTAAATTGGGCACTGGTCTCTGGTTAACTGGGTCATCACCATCAACCTGTTAACCAAACAAAAACCCAAATACAATCAAGTTCCATTGACTACCTAATGGGAATGAACACAATCCAGAATTCTGGAGCAGCAGGCACTAATGCATTTCGAGGCTTCCTTTCAGAAAAAAACACATTTACAGGCAACGCGTAGAGTTTCTTGAGAACACTTGTGTTGAGGCCACGCCCAACCCGACTCCAGATATGACACCAGACTAGATATGAAAACAAAGCAGAGTAAAAGGAGGCCAGTATTAAAATGACCTTCATATTCACAGTGTTTTCCCCGGTGGTTGGTAAAGTATTTGCTATGCCAGAGCAACTTGGTAAGAACATATTGTGCTCTACTGTTTTCATCGAAATTACACCCTGAATGCTTAGTGTGCCAAACACTTACAGAAATGTGTAGCCAATGGGAAACACTGCTGGCATGACAGGCCCTCTCTATTGTATTTTGTCGGTCTTCTATCAAGACCAGATTCTGCTGTTTATTTGCTCTCATCCTAGTACTGTTTCCCAAGACTTAGTCTGATCTTGAATCAAAGCTGTGTCTGGTCTGCCTCCTGGTTGATATCCATTTTCATTTTCATTAAAAAGAATTGCCTTTTTGGCACATTGACTATGGAAGCACAGCATAGAATCACAGCTGTACATGAAGTTGGGTTCTCCAATTCACAACTGCCCTGAGCATGACCTACCCAGTCCTACCCAGGCTGAAATACAAGGAGCAATGAACAATTTCAATGACAAAGATTACATGTGAAAGATTGAAGACATGAACATGTATGGCACATATGAATGATAGCTACAAATGAAGGCATTTGGACTTAATTTAGAGTTGTGTCGGATTAACAGAAACACTATTGCTCCTTTTTTTAACATTCAGATTCCAGCCTCTTCTTAAATCTCTAGTTTTTACCAAACAAGAAGGACCTATGAAAAATTTACACCAAGAAAGGGTGAAAAGCTTAATACCAGAGGTGGCAGCAAGTCCTTTTTTGCAAGTCTGAGTCAAGTCACAAGTCCTTTTTTGCTAGTCTAAGTCAAGTCATAAGTCATTATATGCATGTCCAAGTCAAGTCATTATGTGAAGTCACAAGTCATTTGGTCACAGGGCAAGTCAAGTCAACTTGGTCTAAACACAAGTAAGTCACAAGTCTCTTTATCCAAGTACAAGTCAAGCTGCACATTATTTTGTCAAGCTGTAATCAGCAAAAAGAAACAGGCGTCAACTTAGGAAGTTCCAAGTTAGTTATAAAAATATATGGGGCCGGTCGAGTAGCGTCTGACTTGGGTTGGTAACAAGTCATTTTTTTGCAAGTCCAATTCAAGTCACAAGTCATTTTTTGCAAGTCCAAGTCAAGTCGCAAGTCATTTTTTGCAAGTCCAAGTCAAGTCGCAAGTCATTTTTTGCAAGTCCAAGTCAAGTCGCAAGTCATTTTTTGCAAGTCCAAGTCAAGTCGCAAGTCTAAGCTGGTATTTACAAGTCATATGTCACAAAAATAGTGACTCGAGTCCAAGTCACATGACTTGAGTCAGCAACTCTGCCATATTTCAGTCTGG